TTAGGGGTTCAGGGGTTTAGGTTTTAGGATTTAGGTGTTTAGGGGTCAAGGGTTTCGGGGTATAGCTTTCGACACTCCTGAATGTGAGGTTGTCCTGAATTGAACAAAACGACACCCTGAATACTAGAATCTGCCTATATATATATATATATACAGTACACACTCTAGCATACGAGAATGCTTGATGCCGAGGCAAGGGCCGTCGTAGTAAACCTATTGGCATTTTACCACTAAGATATCTAGGGTTCAGGGTTTCTAGTTTAGGGTCTTTTGTGGGCCTAAACCCTAAACCCTAAACCGCAACGGTTTAGGGTTTAGGGTTTTTAGGGTCTTTTGTGGGCCAAGGATTTTTTGGTTTAAGGTCTTTCATGGTCTCGGACTCGAGATGGACAGTAAGTATAAACCAAAAAGGGACGGTTTAAGGTTTAGGGTTTAGGGTTTAAGGTTTAGGGTTTAGGCTTTAGGGAACCGTATAGTGCAGCAGGACAGGGTTGGAGTTCTACAAGGCTTTCGGGACATTGGGAATCCAACTTCAAGCCTGTATCAAGGTTCCCGAAATTTCTTCCTAAAGCCTAGACACTGAACCTTAAACCCTAAACCTTGAACCGTAAATTCTAAACCCTGAACCCTAAACCCTAAACCCTAAACCGCAGGGTGTAGGGAGTTACTGCTTTCTTTGGGCTTCAGAGTCCCAGGGCAACCCTAAACCAATTTGACGTTTAAAGCTCAGGGCCTAAGTGGCTCGGCTGGAGCATAACCCTCAGGGTCCCAGCCTTAAGGACGAAATGAAGCCTAAAAGGGTTTAGGGTTCATAGACCATATAGGGATTCATAGTATAAGGGTAAAGGGCCCCTACTTTTAAGCGTCATTTCGTCCTTAAGGAGTACCCAAGGATCATATGGGTAGTTCTCAAAATTAGGGTCCCCTTTGTAGGTCCCCAATATAGTACGGCACCCTTATAAAAAAGACCCTAAAAGGGAACCGAATTTGGACAAGCACCCATATACTCTCCCAACTCGTAACCTGCATAACTACTTATTGGGTCCTTTGGACCCGTAGGGTAGCCACTGAGATGTCACCTGGTTGTGGTTCTTGACTTCAAAGGGTTTCCATTCCAAAACCCCCAACCCTAAACCTGGTTCTGGGATGCAGGGGCCTTAATAGTTCGAACAAGGTTTTTCGAGGTACTACTACTACTACTACTACTACTACTACTACTACTACTACAGCGTTGTGTAATTCTAACAAGGAGCCCGAAAGAAGAATACGGGTAAAATGGTTTATTCAGGCTTCTAAACCCTAAACCCTAAACCCTAAACCCTTTGGATTAT